GTCATTTTATTATACATTATCCCGAGCAATATTCAAATATACAAAGTGTCCGGTGACTTTTTTCCACTGAGTGTATGTGTTTTAGCATATCCCTGTTCGAAAACCTTGGTATTGCCGCTTAAAAGTTTGCTTTTTCTTCAGATGCAAACCAAGAACGTATTACGCATTGTTTTGCTGTTTCTTGATAAAAGTTGGCAAAGGAAAAATTAATGCACAAAAAAATCAAATCAGGTATTTATCGCTTATTTCCAAGGCCTAAATAGATGGTGATATGCTGACAATGTTCAGGCCTGACTGCAATGCAATAGCAGACGTGAGACGTTGCTTCCAGGTGAAAATGCAAACATATTTTGAAGACTGCGCGACGCGGGCCAATTGATAAAATCGTAAATGTCGCCATACATTGTTTACTTTGTCCGGGTTTGTGGTAGCGCGCCCCTAATAATAATTAGTCATAAAATAATCAGCCATCAAATTGCTCCAATGACACAATCCAATATATTGTTGAAAATGTACAACGTATTACTACGGTAGCAGAAGTAAAAATCTGACGACTTTTCGAGTTCCTTCCTTTTCCCTTTCTTTTCACATATACTGTCGTTATGGCTTATCCTTACAATCAACAGCAACAGCAATATGGTGCACCCCCACCGAATTACGGTGCTGCACCACCACCTCAGCATGGTCATGGTTATCAACAACAAGCCTACGGACAGCAATATCGCCCGCCGCCTCCAGCGAGTAAGTGTATATAAAGTTGAGAAAACTGTTTGGAGCTTGCGTTAAATGACTAGGTTTCTTAATCGGTAGGTCGTCCCGGTCCCCAAGCCTTGAGTGGTCCTCCACCAGGCGCAGACCCACAGCTGTACTTTTGGTTCCAGGCTGTAGATACAGATAAGAGTGGCGCTCTGACCACAGAAGAGTTACAAAAGGCTCTAATTAATGGTATGCGTTGACATGGCGTTGATAGTGTATTCAATGTTTGATAACAAACGTGTATGTTCAAACATAACATTGTTTTCACAGGTGACTGGAGCCCTTTCAACATAGAAACAGTGCGAATGATGATGAACATGTTTGATACCGGTAATTGTTTATCATTAATAGAAAAATATAGAGACAGATATTAATTGAGTTTGCGTTGTGCGAATGGGATCAAATGGATATTGATCGCATGATTTCATCGCTTACGTCTGAAACAATAAAACAAATCTGACGAGGCGTCTCTGATTGTCTTCATCACTAGATAATACTGGCACAATTACTTTCAGCGAGTTTGCTGGTCTTTGGGTAAGTTCTATTTCAATCAATAATGGGTTCAACTAGGCGATCATCAAGTGAGAAATATTACTTAGTTGATACTACTAGCATCAAGTGTGAAAGTCTTACTAAATTAATTATACGTCTGCAGAAATATATAGAAGACTGGAAACGTTGCTTCCAGACTTTTGATGCCGACAAGTCCGGAACTATCAACTTCCAAGAACTTAAAACAGCTCTCAAGTCATTTGGCTACAATTTGAGCGACAACTTCATTAACCTTTTAATTAAGAAGTATGATAAACATGGTAAGTAATGGACCTCTTCGTTTCTGAATTCTTACTCTATCGCCAAGACGAAATCTTAAGTTTTGATTGCCAATTGATTGGCACGGGTGTAAGTGAAAGAGGAGGAAAAAAAGATTTGTTCTTTTTGATTTAACTGTGAATGAATGGCGTGGGATTAACTGATTTGAAGGGGGTACAAAAAATCCAACAGGAAGAGGGGATGTGTCATTCGACAACTTTGTGGTAAGTTTGGCATGAAGGGCGAGAGAGGCTTGAAATGATATAAGAAATTTACAAGTGATCGTACCGGTTTGGGAAGCGATTACGTTATTTATTAATGGCTACTTTATATATTTTTCTTAGCAATCGTGCGTAACTGTGAAAACGCTCACGGACGCTTTCAGACGATTTGATACTGATAACGATGGATGGATTACGATCAACTACGAACAGGTATGTTTGATTAATAATTATTGATCTTAGCATCTGATCGACAATTGCTTTTGCTCATTCCTTTGCCTTTCGCCTTTTCTTTTTGCAAAAAAATCCATAGTTCTTGGAGTTGGTTGTTAATAACAGATAATTGGTTTGTCTAGTCAACTGCCGTTGAGCTGGTCATATGACACATTATCATTATTATATCACTTATTATCATTATAGTTATTGATGCAATAAAGAAGGTTAATTATACAGTATTGTGATATAAGATCATCTCTCAGATAAAATGTATGTGCTAATTAAATTATAACTAGTAATTCAACTGTCGACCAATAATAATAACGATTATCATCAGGTGGATCTATTAAAATTTGAATAAGCTTAAAAATGGTGACAACTATATTTGTCCAATTTCATAAACTTATAATAATTAATGTGTAACGCTTGGCGGATTACCCTTGCAGTCCCATACAGCACCAATGCTTTATTGTATTACGAAACACTTGAAAGATGTTTGTGTGTTTTGTGCTCACTCAACACAAGTATATCTTATATCTGCCAACAGAGAGTATTTTTACAATATGGCATTGTTTTCAAAATCGCCAAATTTGTCCAGTATTTTGTTGAGAATTAAACATGCATGAGAACATATCTTAAAACTTGTCACCATTCAATTACTACGCTGACAATGTTTAAAAGTCCACATTAGAACACTAGTGAGTAATTAGAACATGAGTAAGTAAATAAAACATTACATTCCCAGTTTAATTTATTGTCACGCATCAACCGATGAGCCGTAGCCTTCCCTTTCTTATTCGTATGATAATTTCATGGCGAGTCATTTTCTGTCGTCCCATCTCGGTAGATTGAAATTCTTCGGAATGCCTCACGTATTCTCGGTGTCTCACATTTGTGCGTGCAAGTGTTTCTTGTATAACCATCAAGAATAAATAAATTTCACGCGTAAAAAAATGTCCATAGCTCACAGTACGCTTATATTGACACCCCCTGATGTAGGTAACGGTCTCCTTGTATTTAAAACTGTAGAAATGACTACCAACTTGGCCTAGCAATAACGCGTCATAATATATAATGTACATGTTAGAGTTTATAACTTAAGACTATAATCATAATAATACGCCGTGAAAAAATTCAAGTGTCATCATTATCATTTATTCATTTGAAGACTCGAGGTGCATATATGAGAAGTCAGCTCGCATTCTATGAATTATTCAAAAACGAAAATCCATGTGAATGTACAACAATGGTTTATAAATATGATGATGATTTACAGTCTGTCAAATTTATTACTTTTTATGGAAATGTATCAAGATCGACAACAGCCATTCACATTCCGAGTTATGCGGACAAACTTAGTTCTGTTAGAGTTTCGAGAAAACGTCCCGTTTCAAACATTCTGAAATCAACATGGACCTACCTTTAGAGTTCGAACAGGTATTGGCGAATTTCACCACACTGGACAGGAAGCAGCGAAACACGTTGTAAGTCTTTCACGATCGCATAACGCATAACACACATGCGAAATCATTCTTTTGGTTTTTGACTCTTTCATAACGTCTCATAGTTTGAACGCTATCCTCGATCGGTGTGATCCATATGACTTCTACATACTCCAACAAAAACTACAGCGAATAGGGTTAAGTGGCTTTGATCTTGTTGGAGCATTACCGCACGAATTGTCAGTGAAGATATTTATTCAGTTGGAAGCAAGAGATATATGTGCTTGCAGAAAGGTATTAATCAGTTACGAGGATAGAATAGTAGAAACACTGCATGTTATACAAGGTCATTAGTGGACACTGTAGCTTACTTACAAACTGAGCTAGACGGAGTTAGTCTCTAGGCACTCTGATCCCGGGGAACAATCTCAACTATGCAATGTTAATCGCGCAAAGTGTATCTTTAAGAGAATAGCTCGACATAATGAACGCGTGTATGCATAGTGGAATATTGCATCGAGGCGATGCGAGTTATTCATTTGGTATCCCGCAAACCTGAATTTTAGGTTCCGTTTATTTGCATTCCAATAGTTGTATTAGAAAGGCTACCTTATTCTGCAGGAAATAGTCGATAGTAAATAAAAGAGTGCGTTTTACTCGATGTTAACAACAAAGGATGGGAAATTTCATGGGGAATGTTTTAGTCAATAGAATATGGCGACGATCACCTAAAACAAGCCGATGTCATGCGCTAGAATTACAACACGACATTGTTCCTCGAATCTAATCTTTTACAACTCATTCTCTTTCACTCGACAACTCAGGTCAGCAAATTGTGGTGTAATTTAACAAAAGACTGGACTATCTGGCGCAACAAATACGAAAGTCTTGCTGATGGAGTCCCATCTCCAACGAAAGACATTCCCAACGAAGAGTGGGAGACTGTCTACCGCAAGCTTTACCGTAGGGAAATAAACTGGCATAAAGGACAGGTCAAATACATCAAACTACTAAAAGGTCATAATGCTCGCATAAGCGATGTGAGATTGAAAGACGATATCCTCGTCACTGCGTCAGCCGACCGCACTGTAAGAATTTGGGATTTAGAAACTGGACTTTGTAAACGAGTATTGATGGGTAATTCGTTCAGCTGTGTGGACTTTTTACCAAAAGAAAAAATTGTGGCTGCGTCGACCTTTTTCCGGTACGGGATCGCCTTGGTCAAACGGGGGGGGAGGCTGGACATTGGGTGTTTGGTGGATTAACCGTTGTTCGTACGTTCAATTAATCAATTGCATTGTAACAGTTCATCATTTGTTTGGAATATGGAAACTGGAGAGCTTATAAGAGAATTATGCGGTCATGTGAGCGCAGTTAGGTGTATTAGTCTCAACAAAACGTATGTAGCTTCATGTGCATTCGACGGAAGCTTGATCGTATGGAATTGGACAACGGGGGAGAAAGTAGTTACTATATCAGCCGATGTAAGATATTTACCACCGTCTCTGCCTTAACTTTTCTATTCCGCTGCAACCGGTCTATTTTGTATTCTACTGAACGCGCACTTGGTTTTACTAGGCCAATGATTTCCACATGTTGGAAACCGCTCTGGTAACTCACAGCACCAACGAAATCAAAGTATATGCTCTGCCCACCGGCGACTTGCTCTACTCAACTCCATTTGATAAAGGTATTGTGGCCTGGGCGTACATCAAAAATTACTTGTCAACTGATCTCGAGTCTGTTCTCGATTTCCTCCAACCATCGATACCCCTTCCACCTGGAGTTTCAAACGTGAACGGACGCTCGCCGCGCGTATATGCGTTTGACTCAAAAAAAGGACGAATGGTGCGTCCGACCAATGGATATCCAACACCAAACATGTTGAATTTGACGCTTTTGGACGAGCAGGCAAGATCAAAAAATCTACGCTATCCGACGAACGCGAAGGGTGAAAGCTTTAAAGATTTTACAGCTTTGACTATGGACCGTGCACATGTCGTTGTCGGATGTTTCAATGGATTAGTGGTCGCTTTAGGATTTCAGGGAGATTGAGTAATCATATTTTAGTCAAAGTTGTCTGTTTTGTACTAGATAATCGTTTACCATTACTATCCGTTCCAAGCTACATCCATCCGTAATTGAAAACTATAGATTTTCGCTTTCATAACTTATTGCAAAAGCGTTCTCAATCTTCGATACCTACGCCAAATTTCTCATACATTTCTCTGGTTGTTGTTCCCTCGATTTCTGCACACTTTTGCATGAAATTGGACATGGTATAACGTTACTTGGACAATACACATTGTCGTTGTATTAATAATTCTCATTTGATTTTTGTAAAATTCACCTTTCCAAACAGCATTTGTCCAACATCTTTTATTTCATTATATTCATGTATTCGTTTATAATGAGCATCGAGAATCTTTTGGATATCGGTTTCTCTACTTGGAGGAGGGAAATGAACAACAGCACATTCGAATAGACATTTAATTACACTAGACGGATAATAAAGCCAACCGAATTGCAAGTTGAAGTTTTTTGCTTACTCGAATTGTTTCATGATTTCTGTCTCGTCTGCTTTCAACGCGTTTAGTCGTTCCTCGAGAGATTTTATCTGTGACTGCAATAAAGTCTGTCTTTGCATAAATCGGTTTAGTCTCGTATGTTGATTGAAGCGTTTAGAGTTCAACTTGTCATTAAAATTAGACGTGGCGTGGAAGTATAATCGGCTATATATATATATATATACGGCATACCTTCTCAGTCAGCGCTTTCGGATCGGATTCTATGGATGTGATATCGGATTCTGGCAGCGATTTGCGCTAGACGAGAGACGAGAATAATTTCAGTGAAAAGCAGGTGATAGCCACATTGCAACACGCAAGGACGGATACTTGACGATACCTTAACGCCTTTATGCTCAGTACAGGAATTACCGATAACATGACCATAATGAACGTAATTGTTTGCTTTCTCGCCGAGATAATATATAGTTAAAGTATCCTCAGAGCTTTTACCAAAGCTATCACACGTATTAATTGATCCTACTCTTCTCTTCCGTTCTGTTCTGAAAAGTACGCCATATTTATTAAAGATTCTCTTGCCGTTTGTAGTCGAGACGTGATCAAACTTACAAAATAGTTTCTCCTACTAGATTTTCAAGCGACTGCACGCATGTATCTCCAAATTCCTGCTTCAAATCAAATAAACATACTGCTGTGTTCTGTTTATGTTTTACAATGAACTTCATGATAGATTCCTTGGAGGGTTGAAGAATGGCAGACATTTTCTTTTGACACGCGAAAGGGATGAACGAAACGGTAATTTAGTGTAATTTAATTGCATCGAAATGATCAGCAAACCGGGATTTTAAGTTAAAGTGACAAACTGTAATACTGTAATAGAACATTCTAATTCTAATTCAAGTGATGACAAAGTTAGGCTTTATTCGTTGCAACATTACATTAGTCTGTTTTAACATCAACCGACTTGACGCGTATTTATTTTTGGTGATTGTGTAATAATAATACACGTAAGAACACTACCTGACGTAATAAAAATTTTTAATTAAACCATTTCACAGAATGTTCTTCCGAATGGTAATTCTGTGGTTGCACGAACGCAAAGACAATAATATTGTAAATAGGCAGTCGCGTTTTAAGTGTTTCATTAAATAATTGAGAGCAAATCACATTTACTGGTCTTGTAGACGCGTACATTAAATACAAATAAGATGTACAATGATATCTGCAAAAATATTTTAACACATCGCTGAATGATGAAGTTATCCATACCAAATGTTCAAAGGCAACCCTTGGTGTATATAGACTATCTCAAACTTGCAGAGTTGATGAAAGCCACGAAAGTAAAGATACAGTATGTGATGGTCTCTTCAATGTAGGGAATTTGCCGTGACAATCAAAACTTGAAAAAAGCAAGCCAGTGAGTATTGGGTCTAGCAAAAGCTTTGTAAGTAACAATGGTTATGCAAGTTCGTTTACAAATTTATATTCTAAATGACATTTGCAAATAATTCAGAATGGTAAAAATAGTCTGCATACCAACAATAGTGAATACCATATACTGTATAATCACCTTTATTTCACAAGGCTTGAAAACCAGTATGCTAAATGTCTGAGTTAGCAATGTTTCATGCTCTTATTTATTGTTCCTTACTATGTATTATGTATTAGACTTGTCTCATTTTCAGCTAGACCTGGTTATTGTTTACCATCAGTCACATCGCCAATACTTGCAGGCAAGAACACATCAACGGGGCGCGATGGGAGCAAAAGTAACAATACGCGGTAAATTAGACAGTATGAACCATCAACTTTATGGAATTACATGTATTGGAGTACGACTCGGTAACAAATCTCACTAAGATATTCCATTTCTAACGATTGATAATATTAACAAGAATCAAATAATGATGAAATACAAATAGAATGAAGGAAATTGAATATTATTTAAATGAAGAGATAAACTTTATAAGCACAATAATGATATTCAAAAAATTTTTATTATAAATGCAAAATGGTCTTCGTTTGTCGAACAATTTGTAAATTACAATACCCATTTTATTAAATAAAAATTTTGGATTCGGATTCGGTTCTTTGTTGCCTCAAATCGTTGGCCGTCGCCGATAATTTTAATCTGCAGATAGAATCGTTACAACGGATAGTATTTAATTGGTCTATCTAATTTGATAATCTCATTATGATTATCTTCCTGTACAAAACAATGATGCATAAACTTCATGAATAAACTTGTAATGTAAAAATAATATTGAAGAGATAAAAAAGTAAAAACGGGCAAAGACTCATAAGTGAATACTTGAATAGCAAACCAGAACATATTTGGGTTAAAAAAATTGAAAATATTTACATTTCCAGAACGGTAGCATTAGTAATATCAATAAATGGAGGATTGTATACTCGATCGTTGAATACTTATATAAGAAATATAATAAAAAAATGATGGATAATTTACTCTAAATGTTTGAAGGGATTAGTAATCTAATTTATAAGAAATACGAAACAAGAGATTTTCTATACGATTACTGGTTTAGCAAAAATCGAAAAAATATATTTAATCATTGATAATAATAGAGAAAATTACCCAACAAGTTTACATCAAAGATATTAAGAAATTTTTTGTAATAATGTACCAAAGTAAAAAGGTATTATTCAACTCTTCAATTGTTGTAGTACTACAACTGTAGACCAGCTATAATTACTAATATTAATATCCCATTTGCATGCTCTTGACAGTCTCTCTATTAACTCTATTTGTATTCACTCCATGAGTAATGAGGTCTATCACTAAATAATGAATATTCTGCGTTTCTGTCAAATTTTAATGGTCCCCAGAAAATTGACCAATTAAAATAACGATAAGGCTTTTCAAAATTTGAACCCCCTACATCTCATTTATTATTCTCGTTCTATCTTAATCCCAAGTGATCATGAATTCATCCGTCGTGCTATTGATATCCTTACAACTGATTCATAAGGGGAAATAGACAGAATTACCATGATGAACTGAATATCAGTGTACCTGTGGATGAACGTACGTGTATACGTAATATGATGCTACTTTTGATGTGGTTTTTATTATGACGAGCCTTTACGTTAAATTAGCCTGAATTATTATGTGGACAAAGCGTATAAATTTAGGGATTCCTCGTTTCTGATAAATAAAAACCATAATGCCTTTTGTTATGGTTATTTTTTTGAAATGGGAGTTTGGGTTTGCTTCGTTGCCGTTAATTTACCATTCTATCTTTCTAGCTTTTCAGGTAAAAAAACCAGTATCAGTGGCGTAGTTAGCCTGTTGATCAGTCTATTCGGACGGGGTATGTGCATTATGAACTATGTAAATAGATTACTGAAGAGCTTTCAATTGTTAAATGAAGATATTCCAACACCTATGCGACATCATCTTGAGATGAGCGAAACAAATAACATGCACTACCATCTGATATTACGCTGTAAAACTTAGACTGTATGCCATACCTGATCAAGCTCTAAAATTACTTCATCCTTACTTCAAATAGATCGTTCGAGTATGAGAAGTCAGAAAGTCAAGTCAGTTTTTCATTCCTCGAAAGGACTTTCTCTCTTATCCCTAGGTGTGTAATACTGATAGATAATCCAAAAAATTTTGCATAATGATGATAATTCAATAAACCAGTTCTGCTGCTGATAAACTGTGAAGAAACTCATTTCCAAAACTCTCACTTTGTCTGATGCATACGAACAAGTGTTTTCTTAGAGAGAAAATTTGGTTGATAATTGGTACTAACATATACCTACTCACTATTAGGACATAATCTGGCTGATGAGGCCACGTTAACATCTTATCTCCGGTATTTACCAGAATCAGTTGATTATACTTCCTCTTCCCATGGTTATAGCTCATACGTTAGGATAGACGTATCGGGACTCTACCAAAGTGCTAGTAAGTATAATATATCACCGTTGTGTATAATAGCAGAAATGATGTTTACCATACAAATCCGTGTTTCAGATGAGGTTCACCAACGATTATACGATGTAGTTCTGATTTTATCTCAACGTGTCAATCTTTTCGTTTTTATTATCATTCTGCTTACTTTCGATTCTATGACTATTAAGGTTGTCTGGTTCCATACTGCATATTCTCAACTCCCGTCCACATTGCACGTGCTCTCATTATAAGGTAACATCATTTTATTTCAATTCGTGGTTTCTCTTTTCTTAATGACGATTTCTTAAATCCATTCGATGATGGGGAATTACATCTTGTCAGACGAGGGAGTAGTTCATTTCAACAGGGGTTTTCTCTGTCGCGATATGATTAGTCTCGTGTCGATGAGATGGGAGAGATTGCATGACAAGTGTATTCTCTTTTACTTTCTCTGAAGATATAAGATATTTATTACTGAAAAAATATGGTCAACTAAAGTTAGTTGTTAAAATGGCATATCGAGCTGACCATTTGATTATATTAAATTGTATAGGATATTGTCGATTGACAATCGTAGGAGAGCAATCGATTGTCAACTCTTTCAGGCGGAGCTGTGGCTTCTCCTATTTGTGACCCTAAACTACTCACAACGGTTGTGTCAATGGGAACCCTATCATTTATTTAACGGACATTCATGGTTAACACTAACACTAGGCGATTATTCGCCGTTCGAGTTGCTCCTTTATTCCCTACCGATGGGATTAATTCGGAAGTCTATATTGAATTATCCTGACGTGTCGCACAACCCAACCCGGTACGTCGTATGGCACATAGTATTAATATTTGCTAATATTTAAGACTGTGACGTGTCGCGATAATTCCTGATTATCGTAGTAGTGGATGGGCTAAAATAGGGACTATTTCAATCGCTCGAGAAGCAGTAAGACGTTAGATTTTACGAATATTCATCGGGCACAGTAGTGCCACAATTTTCTATACAACGATAGATCCCCAAGACTCTTTCAGAAACATCTTCTTGAATATGTATGAGCATCTTTTTAGCTTGTTCAGACATCGCGTCTAATAACCACACTATATGAATTCTACCGTTCGGATTACGTTAGTGGCGAAGTAATATATTGTTTTGACTTACTACAATTTCGGTTGATATCTACTGTTTTTTGATTATTCTTTGAAATAAGCTGTGGAAGATAAACGCGAACTTTGGAAAAGTTCTAATGGTGATCTCAAAAAATCGAAAAGTTAAACTTGGTTTTACATCAGCTGATAGCATCTTCATAAGTAAAGAGTGCTTTGAGTTTGCCAGTTTATCCATTTACGACAATTATTAACTCCTGTCAATAATATAATCCTGTTACTAAAAAGTAAGTACTTCAGTAAAATTTCCCCGATTATTCCTTGATCTGTTATTGCGTTATACACAGTCACTATTGGAAGATGAAGTCGTCGGGCTGGACATCGAGAGATCTTGTTATAACGAAGATTACATTTGAGTCGCGTAAAAGTTGTTATTTATATTAAGCAAAACATCCTATCTTAGGAAAGAATCTACTACTCGTGAACTGCACACCCGCATTTGACAACAGGAAACTGTTCAGGATTATAGGGTTTATCAGGTGATTTATTAATTATATTTCTATTATTCACCTGCTTTTAGTTGTTGCGAACGAGTTAAAGAGGATATCGAAACCTTGATTAATTGTTGTTTAAATTTAATATGATTATTATTATGATGTTCTGTTCGATAAAACGATTTACCGACTATAGTGATGATTATCGAGATCGTTTTACTACATGCACTTGGTTCTATATGATCCGCACAACATCATTATAAACGTCATATCGCGAGACTTTAAGTTATCGAGCCCAATTTTACAGTTTGGAAGGACTTCAAACAGAAAATAGAGCATTAGAAACAGACTTAATGGGCTCTCGAATGGGATCAGATATGCCAGAGCTCTGCTTAGCAGTAACTATGTGTCTGGAGTTAAGTTTGTCTAACTTGAACACTTTCGGTTGTTGATAATATTACCTTTCTTCACGTGTCGAGCCAATATATCCGGGAGAGCGGGGCCATAATTCCTACTTCGAATAAATCTATGTGACAATTGTAATCAGTGACGCTTAAATTACTCAATTTATACTCACAAGCTAACTATCAGTCTTGTATACGTTTTCCTAACTATCGGTCAGGGAAATAACTTTGTCCGAAAGAATTAAATGATAATCCTGATACGAAAAATTATCTAAAATTGATGGCAAGTGCAACCTCGGGAACCGCTGACGGGAGAATACGTTTTCTCAAAACTTTTAGCTACGTCGGTGATTGTTTTTTTTTACCAGAGAATAATATATTGAACAAAAATAAATAAATTGTTTTTTTTATTAGAGTACATTGTAGTTTACTGATTCAAACAAATTTGCAGACCGTAGTGCATTAGATATGTTCGTTTTTAGTTATTAACATGTTGCCAATATGCGTGTTAATATAAATTGATGGATAATCTTACTGCATTTATAGCGGACGTCAGTTGATGCAACGATTGGATCGAAGGCAAACCTATAATATTGCATTTCTTTTCCCTATGGCAATTGCATTAGTTGGGCAAGTACAAGTGAAGATGTATATAATTTGCGTCACTATGTAAGTCCCGGATTTACATATCGATATGTAATTTGTGGCCAGGGCAGCAGAACACAATTTGCGTATGTATTCTAGGATTGACCCATTTGAAGTTCGCGATGTGATAATCCACACACATTTCTGTTTGTCACACCAGCGATGATGCTTCTTTTATTAACATAATTTGATGTAGTTATTCTAAACACATGAAGGATTTAAAAATAATAACTGTTTATTCGTCTTTAATAAATAATAAACTATAACAATAACATAAGAGTGCACATCAAACATCCAATAAAGAAAATATAAATGATTAATACAACATGGATATCGGTCATTCCACGGGGACGACGTCTTCTTGTAGAACAGTATGCTACGATTACAATTACCGTCAACGAGATCGTATGCTATCTAATTCATTATACTCTGCTTTGCATCAGGTTCACCGGTTTCTATTGCCTCCCATTGTTTAGTCAATCCTGTTTCACTTTCGACAGATTCTCCGTAATTTAATAACGTTCATCAATTTGATTTAATTAATTAACGGTAATTTAGAATAGTTGACCGCAATGAATATGAATTGGTACTCACGTATTTGACGTTCGTCATATTGTTTAATCCCTTCAGGCCACAAAGATTTCTGATGTACCACGGTCCTATCTATCTTCAGATTCCACTTCCTCAAATCATCCAGCAACGCAAAACGAAAGTTCTATTCGCTCAGTAAAATTCGCGGTTAATGTGTATCTTAACCAGGTATCTAGACGGAATACATATGTCGCACGACCTTGACGTGGTGGAAATATACGAAGGGTTTGACAAAGTTTTATACTCACGTGAGTAAAATGGGCGCTTGTCGCATATGATTCCTTTTATGGCAAAAGAAGTTAATGTCTGCGCCAGCGAGAACATATTACTAATACATAATGCTTACTTTTATTATAGACTCAGAGTAGCAGCTCGTCATTATCGTTTGCCAATTCAAACAAAATATGCAGAGAGTAGTGCTGTCAGAGACTGCAACTGTTTTTGTTAGTTATAATCACCTTGCCAATATCAGTTAATATAAGCTTACTACTAAATACATTGGACATGCGCATCAGTCCCTGACGCAACTTCCGGAAGATTATTATTGCAGCCCTCGGGCAACAGAAAGTGGTTTACATTTTAGCCTGTCGGAATGTCTTCCGACTGCTCGCATTCGTACCTAACAGAGTAAATTGCGTGGTCTTAACGACAATTTTACTATTGATAGTTTTGCGTAAATGAGCAAAGAAAAGTGTATATGCAAGAACATGTATGTTATATTACCGCAAACTCAAAGCTTGAGTACAAAATTACTAACGAGACCTTGAACTATTCTATCTGTTCTTTGCGTTTGTTACCGTCTAGGTAGGGAGGTTACTTGTTGGATGTCACATGGTGGTTCCGTAGTGGCTTTCTTAATACAAATGGACCCCAGACATTTTTGTATCACACGATTTTGTATGAGACCTTAAAATGCAGAACAGTGTAATAATGCCTTTTTTGAGGATACTTAATAACTTACGAGATAGACCCGTTTTAAGACTCCAACCTCCGCCTTCTAAAATGCTAATTTGGTCATCGCATGGTGTTTCGGCTTCTGCATTAGGACTTACTTTATGCGTAAACGTTGTGACTGTTTGGAAACCATGCCTACAACCAATCAGAAATCAATACTCAATCTTGCATACAAAGAAATATAACATTGTTTCAAACTGTATCACAACGCTGAGTTTGTTATATCAGTCTAATTATCATATACTGAATGCAAATAAATACAACAAAAGCAAAATTATTCTTTTTCCTCAAACCTCTTTCCATCGTTTTCCGCTTGGTCATGACCTTAACCTTAAGGCGGGACGTTTAAATGTTGAATCTTGTGGTAGGATTTTACCGGACTTGAATAGAGAGCCAAAATTTGGTCTAGCGTTTTGATGTCGATAAATATCGAAAGTTTTGTGATTAAAATAAACGAAAAATTTTAAAAACGGTTTACTATTTCTAAATTTAGCTATGATCTTTTTAAACTCGTCTCGTAACGCTTTTAAAATGACGCCATTCCTGAGTAAATCTTTCCATATTCTGTTATTTTCATCTACGCAGAAATTAATTTAAATGAACATAAACTTTCACAATAACCATATGGTGAGGAAGGGAAGGATTCTCAACTCAAAGGCATTATGGTTCATGGTAGTGACTATTGGGGCTTTATCCAGAAAATGTAATTCGACTTCAGTATATCATTGCGTTTACCATTACGATGAGTAGACACTCTTATTTAAGAAATCGACGTTTCGCAAAAATTACATAGAGTCGTCGAGCTGCGATTACCGCTCGCTATCACAAATTCTTACTATGATTAAAAAAAAAACTTAAAGCAGACGTTTAATGCTTAATTGTCATACTCTCGGTCCATTTAATCAGCCTGTATTTTGGTTACAAAGAAAAAATATGCCGGTACCTTCCCTCTGTGTATTTAAAGTTACGTAACAAGAAAATACGAGAAATGGATTACAACATAATTGTCATGCCGGTCAGTTAAGTATTCTCCATATAAAGCAAACAATAAAACAGTATTATTTAGATTATTAATGTTATATAAAAATATATATAATTATACTATGATGATTTCTATCGAGCGAGTTATAAGAGAAATCTTAACAGTAATCTGAAACGGTAATGATTACACTCACCACTTGGGATTGACCGGTGAGCAGATTATGTAAACAAGAATGATGAAATTAGATAACAAGTATTTTTGAACGATCTTGTCACGTGTATATGTATTTCGCCGATCTAATCCAAACAAATGCTTCATATCCTTTATTATTTTATCCTTCATCCCGGTGCGGGTGCTAATGTAAAGGCTGCACCACCCATATTAATATTCTGTATGTTATCGGACCATCTTTTCTTCTAATTCCATGTTCATTCCGGACAGCAATATTTCCCCAAAAAAATTGCTGTTCTATTACACTTACCATATTTTCCTCAACAAACCAATGCATGATGTTATCCGGTGTACGTCTCTTTGTTAGCGGCATTTGTGAAGAATGTTAAAAACTTATATTATTGGTTACGCAAAGTAATCTAATATATACATATATACATTAACATTTATACATGTATAAATACGATTGCACGTGATCTTACCTGTCTGTATATAAATAACACTTCCGCGCTTTTGTCCCCAATACGTTACTCAGTCACACACAGTTGAGCCAGCTTTAGAACTTTTCGCTGCGGATAAAATAGAAAGGAAGTGAGAGAATCCCCTCGACATAAACGGAAGCCTTGATTTACGTTACCTAATATCACCCAGCAATATTAAGAAATGAATACAAACACACGAAGAGACGATATTTGCGAGTCAAAGACAATTGATCATAGAAATGATAATGCTGAATATAACGTTACAAACTGTAATATGCACAACCACTGCTCACGTAGATTTTCTTCCACATATATACCTACATTACCATCTACGTTCGGTATGTTAACTCCCCCGCTGACACCAGAAGAGAATGAACCCAAACAAATGGATGACATAAACATCAACGACTATTCACATCTGGCTCCACAATACTCTAACGCACTATTTGGATCAAACACAATATCCCACACCATGCCTTTTCCCCCAATGCCACCATCGCCTCCAGAGAATCTGCCTTTCGACTCATCGCCGATCCTCACGGCAGATGAATTTAATTCCATTTTCGAAAGCTTTGATGTTGTATATGAGGACAGGAGAACCGAATGGACGGATTATAGCTATGACAGTCAACGTAAATTTAATGATTACGAAGATATGGATGAACTAAAATTAGATAACAGAAACTCTGATTATGGATGTGTCTACGATGATGGATGCACAAATAACAACGCTCATGACCACCTTGCATTAATACTGGGTAATCTGTCCGTTGACAGATAGGGTAATGGAACTGAGGTTTATGTTTATGAGATTAGAATTTGTTAAAATTCTTTCTTTAACATAAAGGGGACTCTCACTTTTTATTTTATCTGCCGTTGTAAAAACAGTCTTTATTTCGTTTACCGTATCATAAACATGCCCATATCGTATTTTCTGGTCAATGCGGGGCGTTGATTATTTCGGGATTATTTGTTGATATCTACGCAGGTTTTTACCCCACCCCTCCCCTTTGCCTCCCCTTTCCCTCCTCTCCTTCCCATTCTATATCGGCTTAGATCTACTAATACATATACAATATTATTGTGGATAATTCATTATAGATAGCACTCATTATTATTGAACTAAATTCGATTTCCGTGCAATAAAACCTTTTTAGTGAACAGTAATACTATCGATAAGTTCAAATGTAACCCCAAGTGGACATTTACTGATAATCCGCAATAGGGCGAGTTGATCGCTATTAGTGACAATCGTACTGTATATCACATTATCATTATGTTTCGCAGATCCGTCGACTAACGGAATAATTTCCGTTCACGGCGCCTATTACTATGTAAAATCTGCATCAAGTTCTTTATTAATATAAATGATGTATATGCTTCATATCGACGTCGTGTCATAAAATGATCAATTGTCTTTTTGCTGCACGCCACTACCCCTTAGTTTGCTATCCTTGGCAAATTACCGAATATTGTAAGACTTTATCCTACAGCTATTATTACAGACTAAGTTGCAATCATATCCCGTGCAACACCTTTTTTGAAGGAAAGTTCTAGAATGACGATTCTGTTAGCTAAACTTTTTCTTTTTAAACACAACCTGACCTGACCTTGTTGCTGCAAAACATAGAGAATGTTAACTTTTATGAAATTCCATCATCTAGGGATAAGTTAATCACTGCAATTACAATGATATCGAGCTAAACATTAAAGAATTGATATTTTGCGGTGTAAAATAGAATTATTTCGGGAGTAATATATGGATATAATCCGGTGCATTCTCCCCAAATATAACATATACATTTCTTATTCTTTTTAACTCACATTGTATTCTGAAACATGACAATACCAAATTTTTTTGGTAACAATTTCTATACATCATCGTCATAGTCAACGAATTCTTCGTATATGTTCTTCAGGCTTAAAATAATTCTTGGCATTTTTTCCAAATCCAACTATGACTCGTGTTTTAAACGCATCTAGAAGGGAGTCTCGAACAGATGAAAAGTTGGCACGTAGACTTTGTTTGCCTGTTTTGTTGATGTGTAAAATCTTCGTAAAGAAATAGCAATGCAACGTTTTTGTCAAGTAAAAATTCAAGTCGTCCAAGAACTTTGAGTCCATAGCTGCCATGCCTGGCTAGTCACACAACATTCTTCCCTGATATAAACCACGCTTGTTCTAGGTGAGGTGCAAATCTGGACATATTAGTAAATTACCGAAAGAGAATGGCAGCTTGTTTGCAAGCAAACACCCCCGGAACCAATCCCTTGGTTAAATTTGAGATTTGCATTGCCTCTAACATTCGTTTTACATTTGTATCGTGGCATGCATAATTCGTAGTAATTAAGAGTACGCAGTTTTAGACGCTGATACTCTTTCGTATTCTGTCAAACCTCGTACCGAGATCATCGCCTGGCATAACACGATGGAAATCTTTGTAACAGTAGAGCAAGTATTTCATTATTAATTAAAAATAATTAATACTTCATATTTAGGAAAATTAAATAAACTTATTAATATAATATTTTATATTTCGGTAGCTTTCTATTATTGTCTTTGTACCAGGTTTCTCAACCTAGTATACTGGACATGTGTTTGCTTTTGCTGGTGTTGGTTTTTCTTTGCGTCTTTTTTTAAAATTCGGAAGTAAACCGTTTAGTTCGAACATACAACTGGAGTTATGACATGTCCATAAAATCACAATAATAAACAACCAATCAAATTTATGTTAGTTACGAAAAACTAAATTACGAAATTTGTTCTTAAATATATAAAGACTACAACCATGTATATAAACGAGTTACAAAAACATTAACCTCGATATTAATCTAACAACTACTGGAAGTGAAATGGCACGGAAATGTCTCCAGCATTTAATCTTGACAATGTAATGCCGGCACAAGAATGATTGCACGGCTAGGATCCAGAAAAGTTAATAAACCAGTATTTCAAATATACACTCACTGGACAAAAGTCTACGTAATTTTTGTCGATCACATAGTAAAACATATGAAAAATCTATTTTTTC